CCGCGGCCTATGTGTAATAAATTAAACGTATGTAGTAGTGCTTAGACCTTAGACAGTGTCCGCTTGGAATATTTCTAACCCATATTTTATAATAGTTTAAATAAAATATATAACCTCAACACGCGTCCCGATTGTACCGATTCTTATTCGAAATACAGCTAGTTAGTTCTTGATTTGGCCAATTTCCGGATCTGATGGCTCTGAGATCTTGGATTCCAGTAATGGCTGCCGTTAGCAGTCCAGAGGTATATAGTCAAAGCGCGTAACCAATCAGAAGCGATCCGCTGTTGTGATTTCGCGTTTTAGGGTGATGTCCCATGCAGCGGATCGTGCGTAAGCGGATTCACGTATCGCCAATCATAGAATCATTCTCTGAGGCGTCGTCTACAATACACGGAGTAAGCCCGGATCCTCAAACGGGCAACAGCGCTTTGACCCCGAACGCTTATTGGTGAAAAACGGGCGATGGGGGTAAATTTTACCCCCACAACCGGCTTTTCACCAATTAGCGCTCTGTGTGAAAGCGCTGTTGCCCGTATGAGGCGTCGTCTACAATACACGGAGTAAGAAGTAAGAGTAAGAAATTGACCAATCACAGTTGATTATTCTTCTCACATTCGACTGTGATTGGTCAATTTCTTACTCTTACTTCTTACTCCGTGTATTGTAGACGGGCCTTTGGGGTACCGTCACATGCGGCGTAACCTGCCGTAAGCGTAACCTGCGTATTCTAGTAATTTACTAGAATACGTTATTTTTCATTTACTAGAATACGCCATTCTGAAAGCCCGCATTCACATTGAGTGTATTTCGCGGAAGATTAGAGAAATGCAGAATTAATGCAACCAATTGCTGATTAGAATTTCTGTTGTATACTCTAACAGAAATGCTAATTGAATTTACGATTGGTTTTCGTAACCTACGCATCTCAAAAAGTACGCCTCATGGGGAACCGGTACCTTTCCATCGCGTATATATGAGCGGATGATTGAATAAATTATTAAAATCGGAAAATTTTGTGAAACCGTTTTTATTTTCAATGGTGCGCGTTTGAATTTCACGCATAAAAAATGAGGCAAAAGTGATTGGTTAATATTCCATATCCCCCACCTTTTGCCGCCATTATGCGCAATGACTCACCTTATGTATTTCCACCATGTACCGACAGTTGTCGGTTGTCGTTCAGTCGTTGCGTGGATATTTTATAAGGTGAAAAAGCTGCGCAACGACACCGACTACTGTCGGTAGGCGTGTAAAGACGGTTAGGGGCTCCGCATAATACACAGTATGTATTCCACAATACATGATTTCTGATAGGTTGAAATTCTCATTCTCTGTTCTCTGTTCCTTTTATTGTGCGTAGCTCCATAGCTCCTGTACACTGGACGCGGAAACATTTACCGCGCGGCAAAATGTGACGCGGCAGCCAATAAGCTTGCAGCTCCTAACATGTTCATTGGTTACCGCG